CTATAAATCTCAAAACTGTCAAAATGAAAATAAACGTTAAAAAAATTCTTTAGGTATTCCGTGTATCAGTTGGAGAATCCCATCGTCGATCACGCGGTGTATCTTCAAGTTTACGAAAAACGCGTTTTAGCAAACGGATCGACTTACTGGAATGATCTTACCGGAGATTCTGTAGTCAGGTGAGAAATAGAGAGAGAGAGAGAGAGAGAGAGAAAGAGAGAGAGAGAGAGCGAGAGAGAAAATTTAAATGTGCACTCGAGTATGTTCGAAACGGGCCGATAAACTTTACGCTAGACAGGTCGTTTATGCCATCAGATTGGGCACGTTCAACAGGCACCATAGAGGCAGCCAAGATACGATCGCTTTCGCCTATAAGGAAGTGAAAATGCTAGGACGAGAGGAGGACGAAATTCCTAATTTGGATGTCGTTCGTGATCGTCTTTTGGTACCGTCGTCGGTGACATCAAAAGGCTTTGAATATCCTGTCGAAGGTATCGTACCAGAAATGTTTCAACGCCTTCCTCTTAAAATTGCACACGCGAGTTGGTATTTTCAAAAATTGTTATATAAAACGGAGAGAGCAAATAATTATATACATATATGAACGTCTAAAGAGTAATTTCACATTTTTTAAATCCGTAATTAAAAAGATCAAATACATTTAATTTAAGATATGCCAAAAATGTAAAATTGCAATTTCATGTAAATTTTAATTAATTTTTCTTATTAAAAATTTAATTGAGATTTTCAAACAGTGAATCAAACATTGAAAAATATGGAGTTATAAAATATGTATCATAATTTATGTGTAAGAAAATTTCAATCTTCAACTGTTATGTTAATTTAAAAATATTTAACAATATATTATAATTATAACAACATAATAAATATAATAAATAATGTAATTCGATAAAATTCTATAAGTATTTTAGAATTATAATATCGGCTTATAATAAATAATACTTACACAGAAAGAACGATTTTGCTAAAGTATCTAAAAATTTAACTAGATACCAATCAGAGAATAATTTTATTAGACCATCAAAATAATTATAAACGCTTTAGTATTAATAATAATATACTGTCAAAAGTTTTCTAATAACTGGTTTGAGAGTCCTACATAATTACTTCGATGGTTTAAACAAAATTATTTTTGGTAGTTAAATTTTTATATATACTTTAGCAAAATGGTCCTTTCTGTGTAGCTATTTGTAACTTAATGTTGTTACAGTACTAATTAGTTAACGTTGCAAAGCAGCCAAGTCAAGAAGCTTGAGTAATTATATATTCAATATAAGATATACTTTATCTGTTTATCAAATGATATTTTGATGTTCAACGTAGGCGAGTCGGGCGAATATCTCGTGATACCAGCGAGCAGCATCAACGAGAGTGGAAACGAATGCGACAAAGCGGGCGTGGGATTCGCGGCGTTCGCGAAGCAACCGGACCGGTGCGAACGTGTCAGGGGAACCTGTTTGAAAAATCAGCCCCTGGCCTACCGTAGGCGCGACGCGGTACGTATGACAGGTGCAATAAATGAAACAACACTGGAAATGGCCTGTCCTCGAAGCTATCCGCGGCCGTCGCGCGTTGAGCTTCGTGTGAGCGAGCGCGAGACGCTTTAAGTACGGCTCGCGCTCGCCGTGTAACATGATTTATCGCGCACGAATTTAATACTTATACCCGTATAAAACGTTGCGAGGAGAGATTTGTCCCGGCGACGGGAACGGACAGTCGCATACAAATCGGTCGTTGGTAGAGGGACAACGTGGATTTTTGTGTGTCGGCTCTGTGATACGCGAGACGAGGAATTCGAGCCGTCTCGTTTGGGCGAAATATCGAATCTGTCTCGCGTTCATAAATGTCCGCAGCGACTGTCGCTGTGAATGCCCGTTGTTACGTTTCGAATCATTGTATCCCGAATTCACGTTTTCCTCCTGGATTCTATTGTAAAACGATGCATTGTATGTTACATAACTTTTTGCAATATGCAAATTTCGGATTCATCCCAGATCTTTTTATAGCTTTAGCTTTTTAACTAATCTTAAGTAGTTTCTGCTTCGGAGAATTTATAAATAATTTGACATAATGGGGGTCCTTAAAATGAAAAAAATTTTAGCGACAGCCTGCGAAAAACAGAAAGAAAGGTTTTGCTGATGCATCTAAAAATTTAGTTCACATACCTACAGATTTAAAAATAATTTTGTTGGACCGTCAAAATAATTATGCAGGACGCTCAAACTTGTTACTAGAATGTCAACATTTTTGGTAGCATAGTTTATCATTTCTACATAATTATATATTTTAATAATACAACAAAATTATTTTCAGATCTGCGTCTAAATTTTTCGAATATTTGAGCAAAGTCGTTATTTTCGTGAATATTAAAATATTAAAGATTACAAACAAAAGATTATAAACAGCTTTTATCGGAAAAGAGCAAGATCTGTCGATCAGGTTTCATAATTTTAACGAAAGTTTGGGAGATTATATAAATATCAAAATATTAAAGATCTTAAACAAACGATTTTAAACGGCTTTTACCGGGAAAGGATAAGATTTATCGATTAGGTTTCAAGCTTGTCAAACTCCAGAACTGCGTCATCAAAACTGTACGTCATCGCGAGGTTTATCGGCGAAGCAGACGACGGTCGCGCGTCACGAACATATGCCGGAAACCACCTAGCATACCCGCGAACATTTCCGCCAACCGGCTGTCGAAGGTCGGGCCGCTGTTCGATCTAGTGTCACATGTCGACAGGAAGCTCGCGCGGCCGGGCGACCTGGTTGCTACTTCTTGAGCAATTTCGCATCCGTGCCGAGCGAGCCCATCAAGTACAGCGCGAACGGAAGCGGAAGTCACGAGTTCCTCGCTCTGGAGTACCATTCGCCGCACGTGTCTGCGATCGACATCGAAATTGAGGCGGGTTACAATGCCGCGCTCGCGGAAGGGTGAGTTCAGAGGAACGATATCTATCTATCCATATAGACGACTAACTAGAGATTATCAACTAACCAGTTCGCTTACACTTCGTGCGCTAATTCCTTCGTAATCCGATTTTGTAATTACTTCGAATAGTTCAGAGTTGGTTGTACTGGATAGATATCTCTTCTTTGAAAGAAATTTCACATTACGGGAATAACGAACAGAGAAGTGTATCAATAAATTACCTTTAATCGATAAATAATCTATGTCATGTAAATGTTAAAATGGTAACGAATGTTTAAAGTTTTTAATATCGTATAATGATATTTTATAAATAGGGATAAATGTATAAGTTTCTCTCTCTTAATAATAAACTCTGAGAGTACTTCAATGCATAGAGATAAAAAGATTTGGCCACAAAGTTTTATGTTTGTTAAATAATTAGTAACCTATATTAAAAAGAAATTCTATCATTCTGTAATTTTCTAAATTCCTCAGATAGTAGAAGTTTTACATATTAAGGCAAATTGATATTTAACGAAAATGTTAAAGATATTCCAATACAACTTCTGATGAATCATAATTGTTTAACATTTTTGAATCTTAGATCCCTAGGTCGTATCAGCAAAGTACACGTGGAAAGCAGGGCACTTGACCATACTGTGGTGATAGTAGTGATAACTAATATGGGACTGATTTCGATGTTCTATCAATTAAGAATCGCGAAATGTCCCAACAATCTTCCCGAGTCTTGGGTGAACGCTACGTTTCTTAGAAAATTAATTCAACCTCGACGGGATCAATCAATGAGCTTGGATCTCTACGGCGAGCTGTCCATAAAAGAATTTCATTGTTCTGGTAAATCTAACGATCCAATAAGAATAATATACTATAATCATTTTTAAAGCTTCAAACGTGTCGCGCTAGTTGTTTGTATCAGTTTTAACGCCAGTTCTAGTTAGTACTGGCAGAGTTCTATGCTCTGCAATCATTTTTAAGCAGAGTTCCGGCCGCTACATATTTTTAATCAATTTTTTAATCTCCGTGTCCAGCACGACACTTGGAGAAAAAGTGACGTGCTGGTTGTTTATACCGGTTTTAACGCTAGTTCTAGTTAGTACTGGCAGAGTTCTATGCTCTGCAATCATTTTTAAGCAGAGTTCCGGCCGCTACATATTTTTAATCAATTTTTTAATCTCCGTGTCCAGCACGACACTTGGAGAAAAAGTGACGTGCTGGTTGTTTATACCAGTTTTAACGCTAGTTCTAGTTAGTACTGGCAGAGTTCTATGCTCTGCAATCATTTTTAACCAGAGTTCCGGTCGCTACATATTTTTAATCAATTTTTTAATCTCCGTGTCCAGGACGACACTTTTTCTTCAAGTGTCTTGTTGTACTTATATTCAAATTTTACAATTATTAATAATTGTTGGAATTTTGTTTTCATATTATATATTTTAGTAGAACTCGAGTAATACTAATTAGCACTGTTGTCAAAATTGATAATATTTGTCGTTTTTTTTTTTAAGGAGAAAGTGCTAGATTCTCGAAGTTAGCACGACATATTTTCATTTTTAATTTTTTACAAATGCGGAACTATTGTTTATTTTCATAAGGAACTGCAGAACTTATGTGAAAAGTATGCTACTGGAACTGTTGTAATTTTTTTGAAACCGACAGAATATCGTGCTCGCTTCACAGATCCATTTTATATTCGATTAACTTACAGTGATTTTTTTCAATCTGACAAAAAAGGGGAAAGCTGATCTAGCTTTTCATAAAGTTATCGCAGAATATTGTAGACGACATTTATTGTCGTAGTGTACAAAATATACATACATGAAAAATCATGCGTATTCGAGTAAAAACATTGAACTTTCTAGTGCAATTGCTGAATCGTCTCGGAGGACTAATAGCTACCAGAAGAATAAAAGTACGAAAAATGGATTATTGTTCCTGCATGTTGCATTGCTTATGTGTGTGCGTAGGCGACGCGCACGGCACAGGCTGCAGACCGATGTCACCGGAGCTTTATCACGCTGCTGGATTTCGTGGTCCCGTTCCTGCAGCCTCCCGCAAAATTTTCATAGTAACTGTAGACATCCTATTCTTCATTGTCTTATCGATGCTATTCCTGTTTTTCATGGGTCAGTAATCGTATTGTTGTTTCATTTAATAGCTTCTGAACTTACTTATTGATCTTCGAAGGCACATTTTCATTTACGATTTGTAATTTTTTTCCACAAGTGATATATCATTTTTAACGCATTATTTTTTATTTCTTAAAAAACTTCCTAACAGTTTTCCTCTAGCTCATATTTTACGCTTAATATCCTTATAATTATTTTTTCTCTGCAGTGTATGTTATAAATTGAATTTATTGATATTTAATTCAGTAGCATGAATTTTTCAAAGAGTACATGTTTTTCTCAGGTTTTCTAAAATGGTCGATCGGCTTGTATATACCGGTGGTAGGTCGTTGGGGTTTGGATTCTCTGTTGGAAACTAGCGGAATGTCTGAGTACTTCGAACGAGAATTAAAATATAAATGCGTGGTGATGGATGAGCATGGTGCACCGGTGCATCCAGATACGCGAAAGAGAACGGTTAGAATATGCAGCAGGTACAGTGAGATAACTATAGTTATAATAGTACAATAAGAGATAAATATATAGATAAGTGCATAAAACGTGATACGACGAATGTCTGCAGGAAAGCGGAATTCTTCTTGAACGTGATGTTCTTTTTGATTTTCCCATTTGCAATTTGCTGCATTCGTCTTAAGAAGACCTTTCGTCGGCCCGCCCATAGACGTTACTCGAATGGATCTAAAGTAGAACTTTTTTTTCGTCTTTACGTCGCATGTTAAATTGAAACAGAATTTTGCAACATAACAGTCTTTATGCATTATTCCTTACGAAATGAAATGCGTCTTTCTCTGTTTTCTAGATCAGTTTGATGAGCGACAAGAGCGAACGTCCGAGAACGATCTGCGTAAGTATTTATGGCGATAGTCAAGATTCGCGTATGGAAATCGAGGACACCAAGTACGTGATAGACGAGTTGAAGAAATCTGAGGAATCATTACGTAGTCGTATTAGAAGTAAAGTAAGAAATAAAAAAATATATAATTAATAATAATAGTAAGAAGGTAGAAAACAAGAGAGACAAATAGATGCAGAGAATATAAACAATATCATATATATAATATAATAGCAATCTGTAATAATCTATAACTTTTTGTATGCTGTTTATAAAAATATGTGTGTGTGTGTGTGTGTGTGTGTGTGTGTGTGTGTGTGTGTGTGTGTGTGTGTGTGTGTGTGTGTGTGAGAGAGAGAGAGAGAAAGAGAGAGAGAGAGAGAGAGAGAGAGAGAGAGAGACACTTTAGTGTTACAAAATGTACATATTAAATATTTTATCTTTTATTAAATTATTATTATTATTAGAAAGGAAGAATAATTTTAATCAAGATTTATAATCAAACATTACATACAATACATTTAATATCATAACTCATATTTTGCAACTTATTTTCCGTATTTTTCCTAAAAAAAGAAAAACTAAAATTCTCTTTTATATATCAATTCATGAATTTTACACGAAAATAATCACGTGTTAGTCGTGATTATCTAGAATTAAAAATACCCCATGGACCATATTTGAGAATCCAATTTATCGTCATGTACCAAAAGTAGAATGTATGAGTATACATAGAGAGATTAAAGAGATTAGAGTGCAGAGAGATTAGAGCACCGGATACGTGTAAAATATAGCAAGAACGTAAATGCTAAAACGCGCACCAACGAATGGGGTAGTACGTGACCCCAAAATGGCAAATGGGGGGCTACGACGACGATTGGCCCGATAAAAGCGATATTTCATTCGTGCATACGTGTAATCCGCCATTCGTCATAAATGCGACAATAAAGTAGATGTTATTTGTCATAAACTGTCGTTGGAATTTTGGAAAAACGAAAGATCCGTCATACTTACTTGAAACTAACACCGCTTTTTTTGATATTCAAGCGTGAATACTTTTGGTTTTACTACCTCTTGAGGATGTTAAGCGTGTTATTTATCAAACTAGAGATGCTGAGCAGAGAATGACAAACTGTTGCGATTTTATTCTTTCAGAGAAACAGTTCCACAAAAGAATACCGTTCGCATCATTAACAAGAACTCGGAAACAGGTTTGACATAACTGCCACACACAAACTTCAAATCGTCTTAAAGGTCTTAAGTTTTGAAGACGTCTTTATAACTATCGCTAATGTATTGTAATAACATTGTAGTGTGTATAAAATATTATAATCAATAAATGTAATCGCAATTAATCATCTATTCCATAATATTAACTTCTTCCGTCTGCAATTTGTTTTTTACAATTCAAGAAAAACATTCAGCATTACTTTTCAACATTTCCATCTCTCTGTTACGTTATCAAATTTTTAATAAGATATTAAAAACGGAACGGGACTCTTTTATTTCGGAAAAACTTGACAGTAAAATTTTCCTTGTGCTAAAAAAGACCCAGTGCAAACGGAGAGTTAAAAATGGTATGCGTTTAATCAACATTATAAATTTGGAAAAAAGGAGTAAAATTGTACTATATCCGTCCTACGTGTAATTATGCTACATGTATATATATATCTATTATTATTATTATTATTATTATTATTATTATTGCGTATATATTATGATGATGCATCGCCAGCTTTTAACTTTAGAGGTATCAACCATAATGAAAATAATTCATATATACAATTCAGAGTACAGCTGCAGGCTAAAAGAGCGAGGAAGAGAGAAAGCGCACGAACGCGAGAGGGAGGAGGACATTTACAAAAGTTATGCGCAATGCGGTTGTGCCGCGAGACTCAGAGAATTTGTGACCGCTTCCGGCGGATATCTACGGCGCGGGTGGGTGTATCCCGGGTATAACCCATTTTTTCGTTGAGTACTATTTATGTACACCATCTGGATGTAAATATTCATGCGGGACGCGCGCATATTTGCCGTGCGCCGCGTTCCTAGCCGCGGCGAATCGAAATAAATGCCTGTATCGCGGAAACTGAAATTTCAACCCGCAAGATGTCTGCCATACGATTCCAGCTCTTTTCAATCGGACCCTTGCCGATGTTTTATTCCCGTCTTCAATACTTCAGTACGGCGGAAACTGTGTTATCGTAACTCACATTTGTCTACTTTCGCGGTCGGATTTGTCGATTTTTATACTCTGCGACGAACGGTCTTCTAACAAAGAGCTGCAAAAACTGACCTGACAGAGAAGTAATTCCGAAAAGAATTGATTCAGCTACTCTCTGTGAAAAGATAACTTAAGATTGATCTGAATATTATTCGAGAAAAGGATCAGAAAATAATTTTATTATATAAAATAAACAATGTTTGTCAAATGTGTATTTGCGGTTTATGTTCTTAATAAAAACAATTGAATTATTTTTTACTTACTGATAAATTATATTAGAATATACTAAATACTCAAAGTTATCAATTAATTATCTTCTACCTATGATTACTGAACCAAATACATAAATCACTTTTTATACAAATCAAAATACAATTAATTTTCAAATTCCACACCTCAATCGTGTAATCGAACTTCCACACTGCAAATTTGACTTTATGTCTTTAAACAATAATTTTCTTATGAAGATGCAGAGCAAATATAAGTCAAAGTATGTGTTTTCAATAGGAAATTTTGTGGGTATTTTTGCGAATTGCACCAGTGTGGAATTTGAGGATTAATATCAACTGCGTTTTGTTAAAATTAACATTATTATTATAACAGGAATATTAGTGCACAAATAATTAAAAATTAAATTACATTTATATTAATTAAATGTGAAATATATAAAAAAATAGTTACATAGAGCTGCAGAAGTAGAATCTAATCGCTCGAAAATATAAGAACACGTGTGAACAGACAGATGACCCATTCAAGAATTAATTTAAAGCATCCAATTAAACGTCGACAATCATCACGAGATTGGTCGGTCTGGGAATAAAAAGGTCGGCTCATTTTCCTGCTGGGTTTTCATACAGAATTGCGCGTATGCTCATAATGCATAACTATATCTCACAAAGCCTATGCAAATGTACACACCTGCGCCGACTTCCGCGTTCTTGTGCGCAGAGAAAGGCCGATCTTTTGCCATTGTAATTCGGTAGCCTCCAGGCGCTCTTTCTCTCGGCCGTACTCTACTGACCACAAGAGAAGAACGGTAAATAGATGGATACGGATGGAACGGAACAATGGTGAGATGGGTAACGTTGGCTAGAAGAAGGATGCATCGTTTAAGATTCATGATTAAATTCATGTCTCACGCAGATTGGATGGAAAAAAAGTCGGGCAGAGAGCGCAAGCAAACGAGTCTTATTAAACGATCGATATTACATATCTTATCGCACGCGAATAAAAATAACTCTGCTAGTAACACTGGATGTACTCTAAATGCAAAATTCAATCGATTGATCTAGTTAAACTACCTCATATGTCATATAATAAATATTAAATTAATAAATTTTGTCTTTGTGTGAATTTTACAAAAGATAGAAACTATTTTTCACAAGACAACTTCCATAAATATTAATGAACGTTCATAAAGAATTGAGCTCTCTGTCGTAAAAGAGCTTGTAATATTCTGTAAATTATATTATCTTACGTAAAATTTTATGGTCTATTAACTACAGAGGAAGCAAATATTTCAACAAAAGAAGCGAAAGTTCTGTAACGAGGCATAAAATTTACGTGTAAAATGTAACAACAATCCTCTCGCGGAGATCGTTATTCATGTAATAACCTTCGAAACAGAAACTCACGGACATTTCAGAAAAATAAAAAAATGTCATAACGTGTAGACCATTTCGCTCGCAATTCGTAGTCGACCGTCTGAGATCTGAGAATTTCGTTAATGAACTCGCAGGACCGACAGGAATTAATGGCGCGCTTCTGAGGTGTCGACATTCAAGGTTACTCACGAGATAACGCGAGGTTTCCTTCGTATACGAGAAGCAACCGTGCACATACCAAATATTTATACCTGCGATTACACGGGGAAGCCCCCGAGAATAAAAGCAACTTTGGTTCGAAGAAAGCAGCAGCGGCTACAGCTCTGCACCACCTCTTCCTTCTATATATGCCGGAAATAAATAAACTGACTTTCCTTCCCGTTGAAGATATCATGGCTCTCGGTAGCTCCCGGGCTACGGATGTTGATGTTTCGTAGCTCGCGAGATGCTTGAAACGTGGCAGGAAACCCTTGGGGCATCACTGGTGCTCTTGGAAGTTCTATTCCTCGCGTGCGTCGCTTTGTTTTAATACGGCGAGGTAATGAGATTGTTGCGAGCAGCGGCTCGTCTGTTGTTGCCGTTACAAAGTGTCCGGTGAAAATGAGGATAACAGCGTGTAGTGTTATCTACAGCGCGACTTTGACCGTGTGAACTTTTGCGAATGAAAAGCGGACCGGTGTATCCTACCTGTAATGCGTGATCGAGTTGGAATGAACACATGATATGATTGTTTACGCAAGCCTTCTCTTTCTCATTTATCTATACAAAGATTGTACAGCAGACATGAATAATATGTATAATGTATGTAAAATGTAATTATTGTATAAAATATAAGTTTCAAGTACAGAAAAAAGATAAATGAACATATAACCAAATGTAAATTGGTTGCTAAAATACAGATTAATTGGAAACATATTTATTGAGCGTAACATTATTTTATTTAAAAATTGTTACATATTTCTTTACTAAAAAAAACAAGAATAAGTTTCTTATTATAAAATTATAAAAACTAATTATTGTATATTCTCTCGTTACGTTATAACATTTATGAAAAGGATTAGTAAAGGACCTTCGATTCTTAAGTAATTTATATATTAGAACTTTTCTTAGCAAAAATATAAATAGATTTCAAACTAGATTTTGATTAATTAATTAATAAATTTTATTTGCATTAAATGTGGTAAAAATAAGTTTAGAATGTGTAGAAATGGACGTATTGTCGAGAAAAATTTCATATAGAAAACTAATAAATTATATGATAAAGATTTTTCTCTGGTATAATAATATTGCGATAATATGATAAATTCATATAACGCTGCATCAGTCGCAAATAATTTTATGTAACGACCAACACAGTTATCCCTTTTAGAGGTCCTTCCCTTTCAGAGACGGTACGTTTCTCCAGTAAACACGTCGAAATGCATAGGAAACAGTGCATTCGTCTCCGTCGTTGACGGAAGTAAGTCACGTTCGAATGATAAATACGACGAGTTTACAGGAGCGGTACGCACACTATACCGTATCAATTTCATTTGTTGAACGTCTGAAAAAGTCAATGTTTAGATCTGCACACAGTGACAGTAAATACATTTTACAACAATCATGGCGAATGAGCTGCTGCTACTTTTTTCCTTCCTATGTGAATTTCCGATCTGTTCTTTTTTATTCACACATTTGCGTATATTTTATTACACTTGTGTAAGAATCAAACTTTTCTCTCTGCCGGGAATACGTTTTGCAACATTGCACTACGTTGAGATAAGATCGTACAGCCGTGCATCCTACGTTACCGCGCCGTAAAGATATCGCGTTCGCGTAAATAATTCTCTAACGCGCCGAGTTGCGCGAATAAAACTTTCCTGGGCGATTTATGTGATATATAATACACGCGCGGCTAAAAACGCTTTCGATCGCGCCAGGATTCGTGCGATTGCGATGTTTTTCCGCCACACGCGGCGGCCCGTACTACCGTGATAAGCTGAAATTAAAGAAAACCGCACAAACCGGTTCGATTCGCGATGCAGCGCGAGATGCAACAGCCGCGCGCACATCTGCCGCTGAACGAATGCGCTGCATCTGAGAGCGCACAAATGGTGATTACGAGAACAAAAGGGCGAACACCGTGAATATATCCTTCGCAGTACGCCACCCCCGGTGCGCGGCTGGTCTCTTTCTTTCCTCGCCTCACTCCCCCTTCCCCTACCTTCGCCCTTTTTCACAATTCGCGATCTTTTGTCTTCCTTTCGTTGACTCTCCGGACTTTTTGCTCTTTGCCTTTCGTCTATAATGTCTACCGTTTTTAGCACTCCTCTCGTATTTTTACTTGCTGAATTTCAACGTCAATGGCTTATTTGTGAGCCGAATAAAAGGCGCGCTCAAAATAGTCATGCAATGACGTCGCATAAT